TTAAAATTTTATCATTTCAGTTGGACTTTTGTTATACTTAACCACAACTTGTAGTGCGATTCAAAGTCAAACCAATTATTTCAATTAAACCATTATTTGGTACTTTAAAACCGTACTGAGGAAAAGTGGATGCCCTTTAAGAGGTGCTTAACATTACCTATTCATGTGATGAATACAATCTTATACCTTGATCTATTATATTCTAAGCAAAATCCCCTCTACAAGAGAAACGTATACATACACATATACATATATACATACATGCATTACAGAATATCACCGGCACAACCAGCTAATCATACCCACGTCTACAGGAACGTGTTACATCGGAACATCTGATTCCAGTGAAATTGCTCAAGACTTAGACTTTCATCGATCTAGGAAATTGATTTCCTTTACAAATGCCTGCGAATCACTTTCTCATGAGCAAGTTATGCCACGTACCATGTTAGCGTCGATTATCTTAATATTACCTAAGAAAAGAGCACGATCTCTTGTAGTAGGGAATATCTTAATCGTAGTTTGTATTACCACTAAAAACTATTGGTTTAATTGTCATATTGTTTATATTTTGTTCAATGATAGTCTTCAGTTTTATGTCGGTTTTAATAGAAGCAAAAAAGAAAATCTCTTACAAAAACCATCACTTTTTACATAATTGACACGCATCACCAAAAACGTATCTACTTAAAATGCGGGAAGAATGAACCAGCACAACAATTAACTTGCGAGTGGCGACTGACTGGCAATTAGAGCCATTTAGGGCGCATGTTATGCCTCATGGAGCAACACAATATGTAAAATGACCTCCAAAAAACACCCTGTACTCCCAAAATACAGTCTACCTTTACAAACACAACAAAAAGTCTTTACTCGCACAATAATTAAATCACGCACACTCGTGACAGTTGCACATGTACCATCCCTTATACACTACGCATGCACTCACGCGCAGCTCGTTGATCCACGGGTTTTTTTTTTTTTTTTTTTTTTTTTTTTTTTTTTTAATATTATGGGTGGATCCACGGGTTTAGAGATGCCCAAACGCACCATAATTGGCGCCAACGCTTTTTGGCTCGGTATTTTTATTCATGGATTCTTGCGGCCTCTTTTGTACCCTTAAAGCCTTTTATGGCCCATCCTTTTTGCTGCCAAACGTGCGCACGCGCCGCAGCTAAGACGAGTGAGCAATTAACATTATTCTGTTTTGTGATTGCTCCCAACCAAACAATACATATGCAATGTAATGTCGAATTGTTTTTCGTGGATTTTTGCCTGTCACCGTTTTGGGTCTGACAGCTGATCTTATGGATCGCTTGCGCAACATATTATAATGTATACGATGTCAGGTATTCAAGTGGTTTTTATTTTTATTACATGAACATGATGTATACGAGGTAGCGAAATATTTTACAGAAGAATTGCATCATCAACTTGTTCTTGAAAGAGAAAAACTTGACGTCGCCCAACTAGTTTCATATATCAGTACAGTGCTCTGCGACAGCGATACCGGCATTTAGAAAGTTAATTTCAAATTCTAAAAATCTGTCGAAACAATGTAAATTCAAAATAACCGCGCGGTACACAAAGGGCCGCCACCGCCACCAACTTTCTTAGGTCCCTGCATATTTGAACAGGCAATTTGCATTCCCTCAAAACGCCCAGTAAATCACGGTACTTTCTTAAACAAATAGTGCTTTCATTACAAAACCAAATACAGTTTATCTGGGCTCTGTAAATTTTAAAGAGAAAACAATGGCAACGCCTTTCCATTTCTCTAAATCAAATAGTACCAAAACCGGGCGGTGGTTATGAGAGGCGCTGTCGCTGCGCCCGCGCCGCTGATTTATGTTGCGCGCGCGCACCTCAACAATTTATTGCGATTAGAACACTCTTTGTGGTAGCTGTGATTCAGATGTGCTGCGTTTTACTTGGATGTTGTTTATGGAATAGAAAAGCAATATGTATCCCGGTGTCTGAAATGAAAAGGGAATATAAACAGCAACGATATTTTTGTAGTCAACAATTTATGGACGAACATTTAAATTTTCGCCTTGGACTTAAAGGCCTTAATCCATCAACAGCCTGGTATTTATTTAAATCTCTTAATTGATGCATTAGAGGTTTCCCTTTTTAGGTGAAAAGCGTGAGCGAAATCTACTTATAAAATCAAGTTGTTCTCTATTGCACTCTTTTGGCTCGATCACCTTAACCGTGATCACAGGGCTATCAGCTATCCTTATTTAATCTTAAACAGGTAATTACATCAATTACACACGAATAAGAACCCGCGACCTCCATTCTTACTGCCAACTTAACTGTCGGCCTTACAAGGCGATCGAATTACACACAATACAAACATTTCAGATCAATTAGGTGCGCAGGCGCACCCAGTCCGAATCAATTATAATGCACTAATCTCTTATCTTGGACAAGTAAACTTGTAAGTGGAGTACACGTTGTGTGTTTAAAACAAGCGTTTTCCTCTCGCTGTTAAAATTTTCAGAAAAAGGTACTGCATGGGTTGAGCAACCTAGCTAACACAATACGAGTTATATCTGACTGCCTCGTTGGCCGAGTGGTCGCAAGTGCGACTGCCGGGCAAGGGGTCTCGGGTTCGATTCCTGGGTCGGGCAAAATATTACTGAGTTTTCAAAAAAAATCTCAGTAGTAGCACGGAGTCTGGAATTGTGCCCGGTATATGGCAATAGGCTCACCCCTATTACATAGGACTCATAACATAAATCGTGAAAAGTGGGTGTTACATTGTACAGTGGCATAATGTGCACATCTGCCTACCCCTTTGAGGATAAAAGGCGTGATGTTATGTTATGTTATGGGTTATATCAGTGTTGCAGTAACTACAGGAACTGGTTTTCATAAACTGGACTGTTACTTTGTTTGCTCTTACAATGACATAAAAAATCAATGCTAATACCTACGGTACTTTACACAAAATTATGTTTACGGAAGCCAGTAAAAGTTATATATAAACTAATTTATTATCAATACTGGTGGCTGACTATTAGTCCTAACATTGTAACAGGATTTATTGCTGAGCTTAAACTCAACACGATCGTTATTCACAGCATGAAATATTCAGAGCCGCTCACGATCCGCAGGGATTGTGTGAAGACTCCCTTATGTCGAATGGGCATAACAATTTTAGACTATTGTGAAAGAATTTAATATCACTGCACATTGTGCCTTATCATTGGTCAAGAACTAATTTATTGCTTTACTATTATTGCGAAAATGGTTTTGTAGGACCAAAATTGAATTGAGTAGAGCAGCGAAAGACTCTAAATTCTTTGCAAGGTGTCTGCCTGTCCAATTTGGTTGTTTATTAGCAGATACAGGTTATTAAAATCAATATTCTAATTGGTGACTAACAAAGGATCTCCAAAAACACCGATAACAATAAAAAAAACATTGATTTTCCAAAAATATGTATAGATAAACATTTTAGAAAATTATTCTCTAATTCCCACAAATACTAAAACCCGAAAGTTCCAAAGGACCGATGTCCTCACCTCAATCACACCGGCAATTCTTTAGATTCGCTACACTCCCAAATTGGTTGCAATCGTCATTCGTTACGGTGTAAATGTTCACTTTACTCGATTGGCGGATATTCAAATAAGTGTTACGGACCTTAGGAAACTCTCTCCGGCGTCAGAGCATGGGGTCACATGATAACTTAAGACTTAGAGCTGCTAGCACTTGAAATATGGCCTGAGAATCGTTATGTTTCAAATTATTTTGAATTCATATCATTTATTGTTTATTCTGCAAGGAATTTAAATTGTTTGCTGAACACACCGTATCTAATATTCTCATAAAGTAGTTCAATAGCAATCCTCAAATTGAGCTGCAAATTTAGACATCGTGTTTCAAAAATGTCACGAACTTCTAATGTCGTTAAAAAGTCCTATCGCAATAGTTTCATTCAGTTCTATCATCTCATGAATGAGATTACAAAACCTGTAATAACTTTCAATTTAAAATGAAACTTAATCCAATTAAGTTAATGCAGATTATTCTACTTGAGCTTATCAGCAACATCTGTAATCACGATCATTGATTCTCATACACGCATTACAATCTCATAAGAGTCTTGGCCTTGCCCTCTTGTGCTGTGCCCTCCGGCCATACTTTCACTCTGAGTGCTTCCCTCTTCACATGAAAGCCATTTCTAGGTATCATTACATATATTCCAACATTGTTATTCTTCAACATTGCTAAATCCTTCTCTATATTAAGTACTTGGAATTTAAAATCAACGGTATCAAGTTACCTTGGTATTGGATTATCATATTTGATGTCGTTATGAGAAAGTTTAAATTCGATCTGCCTAAATTTCCAGTAGAGGTTTGGTTGGACATATATTTATATTTCTGTTAAGTTCAAACCTTTTCAATACTGGATGTCAAACTAATTATACTGTTACACATGAAATTTAAACCAAGAAATCTGTTAAACAGAGCCTCATTTGTTAAGAGAATTTTTTTAACAAAACCACACTTTATATCTTTTAAATTAAGTTGTATTTTTCATCTTTATCAGAATATTCTTGATCAATCGATATAAAAATATGGAACTAATCTTCCATCGCTTCATTTCCTATCAGGTTCTATGATAATTATGGTATCGTAAAACTTTATGTGTTCCGCGCATATTACCGGCTCTAGTAATTAAACTACTATTAGAATCTTTACGCCCGATTATTGAACGGGCTTCAGAAACCATTAATCGCAAATTAAGTAAAAGAGATTGGATATTCACTCGCCTTATTTTTGCAAAAAGTTTCTAATCAAACAATAACAATAGTAATACCGATGACACATAAATCATTGTAATTACTTTACTCTTTGACTTAAAAATGCATTGTCAATGTCAAACTCGTTAAGATACATTTACTCGGTTATTATTTAATAGATTTATTTTGTATAAGCTATTTATTTCACTTATTCCTATATCGTAAACAATTCGCCTTTAAAATGGATTCAGAGACTAGTACAATAACTGAGGTAGTAGAAACAATCCTACAACCACAATCCGTGGAGAGCTCCATAGAACTACCACCAGAACAGTGGTCATCACTGGAAATAGTAATACCCGAAGAAAATAAGAAGAAACTTCTATATGATGACGGATTGTATGATCCTGGTAGCGGAGAAATTTGTGCCAAGTATATAACTATTTCCGCCAGTTCCATATTAAGACACCCTTACTACAATTATCCAGCTATTAAAGACCCAGGGATAGAAGAAGCTTTGTTAAAACCTGAGAAACTGATCGTGTACCCCGACGATGGCCAAGAGTTGTATCTAGCCACCTGCCGAGAAATGAATCAGTGCCCAGTCAGGAGCTTTTATAAAGGTTTACTTGATGAAGAAATAGACCTGCGATATTACTGTGTCAGTGCTGCAGGAATTCGGGCTATGGCCATCGCCTTACGGTACAACAAGACGGTCAAAACTTTTAATCTTACTGATAACTTTTTGAACGACGATGCCAGCTATCATCTGGGAGAAATGCTTTTAACGAATAACACCATTAACTATCTCATTTTGCGCGGCTGCAGGATTGGTCCAACGGGTGTCCTGCGACTGTTTTCCCCTTTGCCAAATAATAGAGGCCTGCAGAATCTTGATTTGAGCTATAACCAGATAGGGGATGAAGGAATGGAACATATAGCGAAAGCAGTGTTTTATGGGCTAGAAATAAAGAATATCAATTTAAGCTATAATAATATAACAGGGAAAGGTGTTATGATGTTGGCAGAGCCTTTTGAGACAAACAACAAGTTCACACATATAAATCTTTCGTGGAACAAAGTATTTACTCCTGGGAGTTACGCTTTCCTTTTGAAATTATCAGAAAGCACTTGCCTTCAAGAGTTGAACTTGTCATGGAACTCTTTGTCTGGTGCTCGATTAAGTCTAGCGTTAAAAGAAATTTTACTGTGCCCATTATTAAGGGACCTAAACCTCAGCAACAATAAGCTTGAAGGAGAAGCTATAGTTAACATCATAGCTAATTTAGGCAAAGCTAAGAAACTTGTTACTCTCAATTTGTCGTACAACCCCCTCACACCTGCTGATGCTATGAAAGTTCTTAATAAAGTGAAGTCACCCGCTGTGAAACTGCAAAGGCTATATTTAGATAACGTGTTTGTTGCTGGAGATTTTTTGAATCTACTCGCACGTATGAGAGGTATGAAGTCCAAGAAAAATATAATCGTGACGTACGGAGGCGTTGTTGGCAGTTTTATACCTAAAGGACCAGACATCAGGGAGCTGATCCTGAATAGAGTTGAGTTCCTCACTAAGAGGTCGAAGAAGCATCCAACAGACATCGCACTTATAGCCCTGCAACTACAAAAAGACAACCGTTCCATAATAAACGTCAAAGATTTCTTGACTATTATACAAGCGTCGGGTGCACCTCTTGATGAAAACCTTGTAGATGAATTATGCATGACTTTCCCAGGACCAAGAACTGCTAAATTTAGAACTGTAAATATTGACCTTCTGGTAGAGTATATCCAACGAAAATGGCCTGACAGGAAGTTACCTCCTACGCCTCCTCCAGAACCTGAGCCTGAACCAGAACCACCGCCTAAAAAAGGAAAAAAAGACGCCAAAAAGAAAGGCAAAGGAAAGAAGTGAATGTTGTGATTTATTTTATGTTGTAATATTTATCTTTTCTTACTTGATTTGTAGGAGTTATTAAGATTTGTAAAATTTAGTTAATTTTGTACGATTTAATTTTTTTAAGACTGTTATTGGAATATGGCGCCTATGGGTAAGTCGTGTTTAGAGATATTTTTAATGACCACTCATAAGAACTGCTTTAATAAATACATTTTTTATATTGTAGAGTTTTCTATTTATTATTATTTATATTTGAAACAAATCAAAAGATTGTACTATTTCTTCGATTTTATTTTTTGTAACCGGCCAATTTTAATGTTACTGGAGGAGGCCTATCTTCATACGAAGTCTTCCAGTAGGCAAGCAAGGGCGAGCGACAAAATGAAAGAAGGTATTAAACTTCTTGCGAGTTCACACCTTTAAATACTCCTTCACCTTTCTAAGTAAATGACAAGATAATTCTTATGAAACAATATGAATCTGACATATAAACCATTGACAGTAAAGCAAAACCAAAATCAACCAAAAAATAAGTTACAAATATGTTCAATCAACCAAAAATATAAAATATAAAAATATGGATTATGACAGCGACGAAATCGTAAGTACGACAATCGAAGAACTCTTCCCTATACAATTTGAGGAAGAAGAATCTTCTGAGGAACCACCGGCATCTGAATGGTCTTCCCTCATCGTTGTAAGTCGTCCAGAAAATAAGAAGGTGAAACTACACGAGGAAGGCTTGTATGACCCTGGCTCTGGAGAAATATGTACTCACTACATAGCATGCTCCTGCAGCTCAGTGTTCCGGCATCCATACTACAACTACCCAGCTATACGAGATCCCGGTATAGAAGCTGCATTAACAAAACCACAACCAATAGTAACTTATGCAGACGACGGCCAAGAACTGTACCTTCATTTATGCAAAGAAGCAGGAATCTATGCAATGAGACCCTTCTATAATTCATTGTTAGACAACAAGATAGATTTGAGATACTATGGAATCCATTCAAAGGCATTTCCCATCATGGCTGCAGCGCTAAGTCAAAACAAATTTGTAAGAATTTTGGATCTCACAGACAATTGGATCTCCAATGATGGATGCTTTCATATTGGAGAATTGCTAATTAGCAACAATACAATAACGGAGCTCTATTTAACTGGATGTAGAATTGGACCCGCAGGTGCCAAACGCATTTTCTGTTCTTTGTCCATCAACCGATCGCTCACTAAGCTTGATCTCTCTAGAAATGAGTTGCACGATGAAGGGGTCAATTATTTAGCTGCAGCCATTTTGCAGGGAGCAGATATTGTTCATTTAAATCTAAGCGGAAACAAACTAACTTTTAAGTCCGTACTTGCGCTCTGTGAAGCATTTGAAATTAGAAACAAATTAACACATTTAAATTTATCGTGGAATACTATAATTTCACCAAAAGCAATTCTTCAGCTGTGCACATATCTGTCTGATAACGTTAAGTTTAGAGAACTGGATTTGTCCTGGAACGGACTAGACAGCCGCATAGGTGCCGCTATAAAGATCCTTCTGTTAAACCGGAACGTTCAAAAAATAGATCTAAGCAACAACAAACTACAAGGAGAAGCGATAAAGCTGATTGCACAGGGTTTAAATAAAGCCAAAAAACTGCAATGTTTAAATCTCTCTTTCAATCCTCTTACTCCAAAGGACGCTATGGTATTACTCCTGCGCTTAAAAAGCCCAGGCGTCAAACTAAAGGAACTTCTTCTTCATGATGTGATTGTTGAACCAGAGTTTATGCAAACGCGTAAAGAAATACTGTCTCTGAACTTTCGCAAAGGAACTATAATTACTCATGGCTATGTACGACTTGCAGAATCGCCTCCTAAGTTCGATGTCAGGGAACTACTTCTTAAAAGAATTCAAGCGATTGGTAATTCAGCAAAAAGTAAAGCAAAGAGATTTGATGCCGCATTAATTCTCCTGAAACTGCACAGTAAAGACCCTAGAACATATGATGTGCAAGAATTTGCTGCAATACTAAAACGGTTAGAACTGAACTTGGATGAAGATCTAGTAATAGAGTTATCTGATGTGTTCCGCGGCCCAAGGCTAGGAAAATTCTATACTATTAATTTAAATAGTATTGTTGACTATATCCATCGTCTGTGGCCAGAAAAGCAGACACCACCACCGACTCCTCCCCCTGAAGAAGTATATGTCCCTCCACCAAAGGCTAAAAAGGGGAAAAATAAGAAGAAGAAATAATACGATATTTGGAAAGTATCTAGTTTTATTTTAGCTCATATACCTACGTTTAATGATTAGTTATATTCTTATAGATAACTTAGTATACTTTTAGATTAGAATTTATTTTAGATCTGTATAATAAGAAACGATTAAATGTAAAGATTTTTAATGTTGTTTCTTTTAAATTGCGCTCTACAATAATATAAATAGGTGATTTACATGTTGGGCATAAGGCGTGTGTCGTGTCCGGTGTCTCACGTCATGATTCTGTGTCAGTGTCATCATGCAGTTGTGACGATCTTATGATACAAGTAACATTTGCATGGCAATGGATGGCCTTGTATCTATGTATTTAATGTTATACATCACCGATCACGTTTCAGTGCTGCGTGGTTGTTGAGTAAATATAGAGGTAGATATAATTGTGGGTATTTAGAAGAATTTAGAGTGAAGTCGTAGACTTCTAACTTGTTCATGTTATGGTTTTTGAAATTGCAGTCTTTCTAGAGAATTCGCAGCTTCTCTTTCGGCTTCCATCATCTCCTCCTCCTCCTTCTCTTTGAATTTACCTGTCAAACTAATCGAAATGCCAAGTAAAATAAATAATCACAGTGGATTACATTATAACATTTACTGGGAAATCATTTACATAGAAATAAACATAACAAACGAATGATTTACTTAACTCTCAATAAAGGAAACACTTCATATCATAAAGTTATAAGTAGCTATTTGTGATTAACATTACAAATTGCGGCGCAGGAGCATGGAGCTGCACTCCCGGCGGCGGTTGCGCGGGCGCACGGTAGCGTGCGTCACGCAACCTGGACTTGTCCGCTTTATTATTATTTATTGCTTTCAAATAATCTCCGACTAGATAATGCTGTAGGAAATGCAGTGCTGCAGCATTCCTGTTGCTATGTGGGCCTTAAGTAAGATGTTAGATGATGGTTGCTGAAGGCCTCATATTGTCATGTCCTGACAAAGATCTAGGGCTGTCAGCAGATACCCTGTAGGGTCTGGTATTACCACCTTCCATGGCACCCCTTTTATGGTTTAGTTTCTTTAAGTTGCGTGTAAATAAAGAGCTCTTTTTGCGATATCTTGTAATCTGTTGTGACATTTGTAAGCAGAAAAAGTAATGTACTTTTAAAGTTTTATTTTATGATAGGATTCTTTATGTGAATGTGTGTGTGCTCTTTTAGCTGTTTTTCACTTAGTAATCAGAGTAATATTTTCTTTTTAATTTTATTTCTTGTCTTTATTGAACGTTGCTAAAGAAGAACGTGTTTTAATTAATTGCCCGATGGGTGAAATAAGTATATTATACTATTTTTTTATAAATATTGATTAATATTAATAATTATATTGAAAGCCCTGAAGGTTTAAGTCATTACAAAAGTATTCAGAGCTACTATCAAGGTTGGTAATCAGAAACTAAAGAATCTGCCCTGTAATGCGGAACTTTAGTGTGATTCTGTTCTGTTTATATCATCAAGTCATAATAGATTAAGAAGATTAACAATCCACAAAATATTTTGAGTTTTAGCTCCTTGATTCCAATGGTGACGACGATCATGAAATCGAAGTATGGTATTGTATTCCTAATAATTGCAATGTCAATTTCTTCTGCAATAATTAGCTCACCATTTGGTACTTACAGTTTATGCTTAATATGTCTATATCATACTTACCTTGGCAAAGTATTGTTATCAATATTAAATCCCATAAAATAATTCAACTATTTTAAACATAATGTTTGTAATAAGTTGATGAAGTTTCATCTCATTGAAATTAACAGTACCTATGGCTGTAGCAGTACCTAAGCCCAACCAACAATATTTAGCATTGAAAGGAACTTATTATTACTGTTTCCTGCTGTTATAAGTCGCGGAGAACCTAACGGGTTACCGGGGCTCCGGCTCGACGTGCAGGAGAAGGAACGGGGTGGTTTTTAGTCAGTAAGAGTCTGACACTCCCTCCCGCCTCACCCAGGCGGGAGCAGTCATTAGATGATTTCCCCCCTTAAAAAAACAGTCATGTTATAAAGTATACAGAAGTTTTTAAACACTAAAACTGCATAAGTCTTTTTGGACATTATTTTAAAATGTATCCGTTTTTTTTTTGTTGTTGCAGGTAACTTTCGCTGTCATAAAGAAAGTGCAGTGTTTGCGCAGTGACTGTACAGTGACTGAGCCGTGAGTTGTCTCCGATCATTGCTAATTTGTTAATTGCTTGTGATTTTTTGATGGATGAGTGTAAAATGAAACGGAGTGAGAATATAGAGAATATAATTTCTATTTAACTACTTTTCTTATCTTTCTTTTGTTGACGTTATAATGCCTTTCTGGTCTAATTGAAATAAATGATTTTGACTTTGAAGAGGTTCGAGTGCAGTCTTTGGTCGAGTGGTCGCAAGTCCGATTGCCGGGCAAGGGGTCTCGGGTTCGATTGGTCGGGTGAAGTATTACTGGGTTTGAAAAAAAAATTCTCGCACGGAATCTGGAACTGTGTCCGGTATATGGTAATAGGCTCACCCCCTATTACATGGGACTCATTACATAAACCTTATGTATTGTTTATATGCAGTAGGATTAGTACAAGTTTCTTTTACGTTTAAGAGATTGAAAACGAGACCACGGTCGATGCTCTGATTGGTTGGTTTATTGGAGCCGGCCAATGAGAGCGCTGATCGCGGTTTCGCGGTCGGTTTTTATTCGTTTCTGTCCCATAGACGAACAGAAACTCAGTACGTCGCCTTCCTATTCCTTAATTATGATTAAATTACCGCTGCCTTTCCCCAGTAATATAATTTCTTCAATACTAAATAAGACAATAATGACTACAACGAAAAAAATATCCAATTTGATCCAGTCGTTCTCAAGTTGCGTGACTAAGAGAAATAGGGTATTATTTTTTTAAATATAATATAGATTAAAAATAACCCTTTATCCTCCCATTCACGGTTTCTAATTAAAAATATTTAATAGATAAAGGTAAGATTACGCCCCGTAATCACTTGAATAATGCTTTATGAATATTTATGAAGTTATATCTCGGACAACAGCTTAACAAGCTATCCTATACTGTCAAATTTCTGTATTTTATTTCCAACCTTATAGTTTTGGTGTTAAAGTTGGGAATTGATTAAAGAATTTTTGCTTTTTGGGTACCTTGATACGCGTGGTGTCTATTCAATCATCGATCTTTACAATTTCTTTTCAATACATTTATTTATATGCATACAGTGTTCTATGTTTCATTTAGTTTTGTAATTAAACATTTAATTATTTAACTTTAAATCGGATTAAGTTAAATTAGAATATTTTTAGTTACTTATTGATTGATTTTAAATTAGATTATTATAGAATAATAATAAATTCGAATAGAAATCTGTGCCTCCTGTGATAAGTGATACAAGTCAAAAAACGTAATTTTACAGGACAGCAAAAATAAGATTTAAAAAAATCTAGTTCGTTAATTAAGTGGCCTAGGTTAAATATTAATTAGTGCACTCATTTATAGATCAAAACATTCTCTTTCTTTATATAATTTAGATTTTTTGATACATGTTTAATTTTGGAAGTAATTCATGAAAAACCTGCGACTTGTAACTTTTACTTAGTTTTTTATGTGTTAAAATTAAGTTATTAATGATACTTGTACAGTTAAATTACGTTGCACCAAGCTTGCACCAAAAAATTGTCTTAGTGTAAACTGATATACATGAAGTTAAAATGTCTAATAACACATTAAAATAATGATTCTAGCGAAATGTGCTAAAACAAAAGTTGAAAATATAACCCTTAAGATTCATTTTTTTTACTTATCAGTCACCTATTTACATAATTTAACTGAACTATATCAATTTACTAAAATCCTAGTCTTTCAAAAGATATGCTAAATGATGTAAGTCAAGATGTATCCCTCAAAAAAAAGATAGTCATATGTGTAAATGAATACAAGTTTTGGAAAAATAAAAAATCAACGTTTATTAACCGAAAAATACAGCCGTTATGCACATTTTTATCAAAATTCTTATAAAACTAAATGGAGATCTATACATCACAAAATGACTATACGAATGTAACTATTGTTAAAAGGAACATAATTATCATTTTTTTTTTTTTTTTTAATATAAGGGCTTTGTCGCTTAGCGACCATATCGCCCAGTTCGAGATAAACAAGTACTTATCACTAGCTTATGATCTACCTACTTATAACTAATTGGTATAAATGTTTCGCTCCGTCAGATGTTGGATGAGCAAGAACAGCGTTACAGAAACCGATGTCATTCGTTCTATGCCATCCCAAAATGTGGATCCTAACATTTTCATTCCGGGCACATTCCATCAAGATATGGAAGACATCCTCGACCACTCCGCATGAATCACAACATGGCGACGGAACTTTTTTCATTAAATAGTTAAACTTATTTGATGGAATATGTCCGGAGCGAAGCCTTAAAGCAATAGTGACTAAAATTTTATTGAGATCACAATCAATCCATGGAACCCGAGGAATCTTTGACTGGATAGTCCGATACCAAATCCCCTTTTCTTTTGACCTTTCGTCAAAATACTCCTGCCAAAGATCAAAACACTTATTTTTTGCTTTTCCAAAATAGTCCGAAAACAGTGGGGTAACATTCATAGCAACACCGTCAACGCACGCTTGCTTGGCGAGCATATCCACCACATCATTCTCCTCATACTGTACGTGTGACGGAATCCATTGGAGACGAACTGTTCTACCACTGGATTGAAGTTTTAAGATTGATTCATATATGGCAAAGGCTGTCGGAATACCTCGCATGTGAGAAGTGTTCCGAGCCAAATGTTGCAGCGAACTTTTGGAGTCTGTCAGAATCACAAATTTATCGCCATTGACCGACAGAATATAGGATAAGGCTTCCAATATAGCAATCAGCTCAATGTGCATAATGGAAATATCTGAATCAATTTTAAACTTCAAATGGCTTATCAGAACTGGGTCCCAAAAGGCTGCCCCTCCCAAAA